CATACTCCAAATTAAACAGCTAAAGAACTTGAGTAGCTGTATTAACACAAGTATCAAAATTTGTTAATTTGACATGGTATGTTCATTAACTTTTCAAGCCGATTCAAAGATCACTGCTTGAGAGGGCTAAGCTCCCCTGCAAGAGTTTGTACCAAATTGTGAGATCTTGCAGTTAACTGATTTATTGTTTACTTCTCCAGAATCTCATAAATTGTGCATTTAAATATTGGCAGCTAATGCTTTTGGTGTCRGAAAGCTAACACTTTCTTTTCTCCTAATAATAGAGATTTTGAAATCCTGTGTGTGGTTTGTTGCATTGGARTCCATGGATCTGCCCTTGCCTTATTGTGAGTTTTTTGGACAGYAGATTATGGTATCTGCTGGGATCTTGAAGTTGTGTGTTCTGTGGTAGGATTTCCATTTATTGCTGTAACACGTACAAACTCATTAACAAGTTGTAGGCCACGGGAGGTGGTCCCTTTGCTATGGGAGCCATCTCAACTGGATGRTCTTCAGTGCAGCTGCCTCTGTCTCCTCGTGTCGGGAGCTGACAGATCTAATTCTGCCTTTGTAGCTGTGAGCCTCTTAGTTAATGGCATTGTGAGCRTTGTAACTCAGAGGTGATCTTCAGTGTATTAAAATGCATTTTGCTGTTCATGATATTTATCAAATAAGGTGTTATATCTAATGAGTGCGGTGCTACGCTCAAATAAATACTTGTATATAGCATATAACTTAAAAGAAATGAAAATATAAGTAGCTTCACAGTTGCTTTGTAGTGACGGAGAGAAATGGCTTTTGCTTGCCGGGTTGAATGGTATGTGATGGAAACCCAGGGTGAACGTCCTCTCCAAGGGAAGAGAGAGCATTATGGTTTATATGATCAGATTCATGAAATCCTTAGTACATATATATTTCATAGGGATCTCATTTTTTTCCTCCCCTGTTTCTCGCTTCTTGCGTGAAAGCAGATAAAATAGAGAAGCAGCAGTGCTGCCTTGCAMGTGCTGTAGTAGGTTTCACTTTATAATTATCCTGCTCTGACATATTTATTCTTTCTTGTGGAAGTGGCGATGCAGATATTTAAGAACTCTTCTTGCACAAAAAAGCCCAATTTCCGCTCAGTACTTAATTAGCACTTGTTTATGACACGGCGTCTGATTTGATTTTCAAAACAAATTGCACAGTAAAGAGGCTGATATTTAAACTGTATAGTAACCACAGCTCCAGCTGTGACTCAAATATTGTAAGCCTTCAGGGGTTGTGTTTAGGCTTAGAAAATAGGAACTCAGGCCTGTAATTAAATGTCCTCTAAAAAATCAGCGTTTTGTAGGGAAGGAAGGAGGGCACCACTGGATTTTAAATGACTGACTTGTTCTCAGCAGTCCTGGTATTGTTTTAGGTCTTGGTATGGACTGCACAAATCAAATGAATTAAAAATAGGAGATATTAAAAAATTAAGGATATTAAAAAATTAATATTAAAAATAAAATCAATTAAGGCTTATGGGGAGGGGGAGAGAAAGGCAAACATGATTCTGGCCCATGGGGTTATAAATGATTGCAGTCTTAATAGATAGTGGTGTATGTTCTGTGGACATAAAGAAATACTACAGAGGTATTTCATGCAGGGTAAAATTGCATTTCAGAACTGCAAGTAAATCTCTGGTTCTGGAATAAGTCATGGTGTTGGAAAACTTCTTTTTTAAAAGGAAATTCTTAATAATAAACTTAAAAGGGAGTAGTTAGGCTACTGTTATAAATTAGTTGCGTAGATAAGGCTGGGAAATATCYACAAAATGGCATGATAAAAGTTGCCAGTTTGAATACTTTCCAAGGTCTTTTTTGAGAAAGGCAAATACAGTGCTGTGTATTTGGGAAAAAAAGAGGAAAATTACCCTAGCAGTCTAGCTTCTAATCGTGTAAAATGCTGAAGCAGATGTTCAGTGAAAATATTACTCTTATGGATGATATTGCAACCATGAGCCTAAACAGTGTGTGTTCATGAAAATACAAAAAATAAAATGAGTAGCTCTTGCTGGGCAATTAATTGTATTGTGCTAGAATTGCCTTGAATGGATCGTAATCATGAAAGATTTGAGTGTTGATTGGCGAAAGAGAACTACTTTCAGACAAGATAAATGTCTGTCCTGGGTTTTTAAAAGCTGTATATATTTGGGGGTGGCATTATTTTATTTACTTTTTTTTTTTGTCAAGTGCATGTGGGTTCCTCYCTTAGTTGCGTATTTGCTGTCATTGGGACCCCAGAATTTGGAGCGGTTTAACCAGATGCCCTCATCTAATTGCCTGTGTGGGTGGAAGCAGGCAGTCTTAGGGACAATCACACAAATCTGAAATTCAGGAGTTTGGCTGTAAAATCGAGCTTAGTCCAGGGCAAATCCATGTGAATTAAATGCTCTCGAGTCAGAGCTCAGAGGTTTTCAGTAAGATTTGCTTTTCTGTCGGTGCCTGTGTTTAAGTCAATGGGGCTTGTGCTCCTGAAGGCTCACTAGTGCACAGATCCCACTGCAGTGTCTCAAGCAGCAGTATGAGGATAGCAACATAACTTATGCTGTTGAGATTTCCTCCTATATAGTTTATTTTCCTCTTAGGTACAGATAGGCTTAGCAAATGTAAAATAATCTCAGTGAGTTGTACTTCCTCTGTAGCTGTAGTGCAGAGGAGTGGATGGTGGTGTCTGGGTTGGTCCTGTTTGAATTTTTAGCTTGTAGATAATGAAAATTAAATTGGGCTAACAGCAGCTGTTAACCTGCTGAAGGTCCTGCTGGCCTTCTTTGCTAATATTTAGGCAATGTTGTTCTGAAGTCACAAGGATGTTAATAAAGAGTTGTCTAAATAAAATACGTGTTTTTCTTGGTTATAGGAGACACTTCTGCACGGAAGCAATCCTACTGATAGCAGTAGTTCTGTTAATRTATTTACATGTTTGCAGGACCAAAGTCTTCAAGTTAAATGGTTTAAATCAGTCTCTTAAATCAATTACACTGCTCCAGACTGATGGGCTTTGCAAATGCTAAGCAGCCTGCCAGTCTTAAGAGTCCTGTTATCCTTTAATATGTAGGTTAGGCGACCAAAACAAAGAGGGAAGTCATTTTTCTTGGATTTGTTGTGTGTACCTGAGCAGATCTGAGATAGGTATTCAGGTCTCCTTGCTCCTAAAACTGTGATTTAACCATAAGATCATTTTTTTTCTACTTGTTTATGATGATTTTATTAGTATTTGTTTCTTAATGGATGTACAATGCTGCACTACATCAAAAAAGCAATAGAAGTGCTTGAATCAAAGGTAAAAATACGGGTTTCTACAGACTTCTTGATAGGGAGCACTGCAGGTAGATTCTTCCATTTTCAAAATGTGTAGAAATGTCTGTGATTCTTCTCAGCACTCCTTTGAGGTGGCTTAAATAAGTGTTGTCCTCGTTTTACAGTAGTAGAGAGACTAACCACCCATGAAGTTAGTGCTGAACTAAGGATTAAGTCTCGGAGCATGGTGCTTCTAGTAGCATAATGAGTCCCCTAAAACATACTTTGTTAATGCGTTAAGTATCACAAGTCCAAGCTCAGCAGGTGAAAGCAGTAACCAGATACACTTGACTTTAATTTATCAGTACGATGGTGGTTATTAAAGTTCCTGGTTAACTGGGATTGCTGGCTAGGACACCAGGGTGCAATCTCGCTTCTGCTTTGAAAGATTTAGGAGGATTTCAGCTTAAAGCATCAAAGAGAAAAAATAGCTTATGTTTTAAGTCTGTTATGAAATACTTGTAGGGATGCTTTTTAGAGGACAGAGTTTAGTATGTTGTAGTGCTTGGAATTTGAAATAAAAATAAGGCTTGGCTGTCTCTGCRCCGTAGCTGTGAAGGTTGTGTGTTCAGCACTGACACAGTTTTCTGCTMAATCCAGCTGTATTTTATACCATGTTCCAAGCACCAGGGTAGGTGCAGTTGGTACAAACTAAATATTGTGTTGACACAAGAACAAATGGGAATAAACTCACCTGGAACATATTTAGCCTGAAAATTTTAGAAGTTTCCAGCCTTCCAAATGCAGTGGTGGGGGTCTGCACCTGCTACCTGGGAGAGGAATACTGTGAATTGATGAAGAAATTGCAAAATAGTTGTGTGCAGTAAGGAAGGAAAGGACAGCCTCTGGACATGGGGCCTGAGGGTGTCTGCCTGGTCCTGTTGCTTAGTTATKACTTTAATTTCTAAGCATCTCATTTGGGGAGGGGGATTAAGAGGTGCACAGTTGAATCCACATGATTGTGAAAATACCTTTGAACTGCCAATGGATGTAACAGGTAACGTAAGTGAAATGTTGCTTTTTTTTTTTTTTTTCCCCGCTAGCTGTAAGTTATGTCTCACTATCTCAGTGCAATTGGATGTCTTGCCTTTTCCTCAACCGGCTGAGGGAGGGAGGGAAGCAAACGGGTGGAGATTATATTTGTCTATCACTTTGAGGTGTAATTTATGACAGTGTGTTGAGCGTTGCTTCTGGTTACCCCATGTTGAGGCTGCACCTCTTCGGGGATTTTCCTTAATCTTTACACATTGCCCTGTGCCTCGTGCAGCCACATGGGGGATAGTGCCTGTAAAAACACTCTCATAGCTTGACTGCTGCTGTTTTGACACCATTTAGTTTTACATACTGGCAAAGGTATTAACGAGCATTGGTTTCTGCTGCTGCACCTGCCACAGGGACAGTGCTCATGCACGTGTATTTGTGTGAGAATTTTAAAGAAATATCTGTATATGGAATTGAAATATACAATGGTAGAAAATGTAAAAGTTATTTTATGAGCAAAGTGTTCTTAAAGCAGCTGATACTAGAGTAGTAAATTAATCAAGAACCTACTTGGGGGCTGAACCTGCGTATGTGGTTTAAGAAATCTGCATTGTTTAAGATAATCCAAAGTTTAGACTTAGGTTAGCTAGGTCCCAGTGTAAAAGGAGGTCTCTCTTTATGTCTATTCTCTCCTAGCCCCGAATACACATGCCAAAAGATGGATTCCAACTTATATCTTCTGGATACCAAGCATGGCTAAAGCAGGTTGGACTGTATTATTGTTATTCATCTCATGTGAGGGACTGTGTTGGACACCTGTGCTTGTCTCATTAGTGAAGTACATAAATGAGGGTGTAATGAAGTTACGGTGCCATGCTAGCCGATACCCTTCATAGCCATCACTGTTCTGTGTTTCTGCATGCTGTGTTTGTGCACCATTTTCTCACCAGTCTGATGAATGTGCACTCACTGTAAATGCAAGTTAAGAACGCAGTCACCTGAGAGAGAAAAAGGTCAGAGTCTGAAAAGAAATCTGCAACAAGACCTCAAATTACAGAATTAAAATGGACCTTCAGATGGAAAGCTGCATGGCAGTGCTTGTTGCTGGTAATAATGGGGAGGCCAATGGGTTAAAACACATGAGAATTGCATCTAGAGGCGAAGTCACATCTGACTGGGCGAAACCAGGGCGGCCACTTGCTCCCATCACATCGCGATTGTGCAGCTTGTCACACTCTGACACTGCGGGGACTCCCCACTCGGACGTGGCCTCGTGTGATATTGCTCTGGCTGTTATTAAAGGCCGGGCTTTAGATGTCTCAGCAGTCCGGCTCCAGCAATTGCTGTCAGCTTCTCACTTTTGTGAGTGAAAAATCCTCCCTTCAGGGAAGAAAAAAAAAAAAAAAAAAAAAAGCTTAATTTACAATTTGCCTTATAGAAGTCTCGTCATCATACATGTATCTTCGTGAGAGAGCCCGACGTCCTTGAGAAGGTATAGCTTAAGTGGCTGGTTTTGTAGAAAGCCTGACTGGTTGTGGTGTTGTGGCAATGGAGGCTGGAGACAGTGCGGAGAAGCTGCATCCTGTTGTCCTGGCAACTGGCGGTGTGAAAAGGATGAAACATGGTCGGGAAAGGATATCTAGCACCCGACAGAAACAAAGATCCGTGTCCCCTGGGTTGAGTGGCAGAGAACCAAAACCAACTGCCAAACCAAAACCACTCAAAACACCCACGTTTCACTGGTGTGGGTGAATTTGGTTCCGCCCAGAATTGTCTCCATATCCTACAGGTAGTAAGTGGCCACTTGCTTGTGCAARTTGCTTCCTGCTGTCAGCCCGCATCGATTCCAGTGAAATAGAGAAGAACCCGACTGCTTGGAAGCTGGTGGGGTTTGAGCCCTCTGTTCCATTGCGAGCCACTGCGTTGTGTGAGTGATGGGCCGCAAAGGCGCAGGGTGGTCTGGAGCTTCTCTCCCACGGACTGTCCCTTTCCCCCATGCAGGCTGTGCCGGTGAAGGGCAGCTGGGAGCTAGAAGCTCATGTTTTCTTGATTTAAACTTTGCTGAGCTGGAGGCAACGTGTCTCAGAGGGATGGCAACTCTGCAATTAATGCCTGACAGAGCTCAGGTTTGTTGACATACGGGGCATGGCACCAGTTTCCTTTTCTTATGAGGTGGGCTGGGAGAACAAAAGGGAAAGCATTGTGTGTATTTTCTGTTCCCTTTTACCTCTGAGGCAGACAGACCTGCATCTGTTCTTATTACATTGCACTGCCAGTGCTGTGACGCAGGTGAGATGTTTGCATTTTGCCTCTGAAAAATACAGAAGAGGGGAAAATACCAACAACTCTCGCTACCTTTCACAGGGAGCCTTTCACATTAGGCAAACTCGAAACAAGCGGAGCAAGTTCTTCTATTTGTGCATTTTTGTGTGTGTCTGCTTTCCTTTTGGTTTTAGTTGACTGTTATTGGTTCTAAAGTCTTTATCTTAAATCTCCCTACTCCCCCTTGAATCCAGGTAAGGGTATAAACCTGAGCTCATCTCCTCAGCAGATGCTGTCGTGGAAATAGCTTTGCTATTCCAATTTCAGTGCTGTCATTTCACCACGGGAAGTCTGCGGATAAGGGAGTTGATATGTAAGAGTGGACATTTGCTCAAAAGAAAGAGCTCTTGTGAGAAGCAGAGATGTTTTTAAAGAAAATAAATCCAGAGGTCAGATTGGCATAGGGCATCCAAAGGCCTTGCTTGTGAAATTCCTCAAGCAGTGTGTTGGCAAGAAAGACTCTTAAATAAAAGCACTAATGTGAATATACATCCAGATGGAGTAGTGTCTGTGCACTGAGTTTATCCCTCCTTGGCTCTGTGTGAGTGTTTAACAGAAACCTAAAGAAATTATTTTTTTCCTCGGTGTAGCCGAGTATTGATCTGCCTCCTGGTTTATGCAGGGCGTGAGAAGTATCTCAGTAACACATTGTATTAATGTGGGCTAAAAGCAGTTTATATTCCAAATGAGGTGGAGGAAGATGGAGTTCTGCAAGAGCGGACACATACTATAAATATCCATAAAACTGACAATTTTATCTAAAAACAGTGCAGGCTGGATTTGTGTAGTTTCAGCCTACTTAAACTGGAGCTAATAGTTGAACACTACCTGAGCATGGGTCGCCCACACTGATGCCATTACCCCTTGCCCTTTAATGGCAGGTTTTTATATTTAATGTTGCTGTGCTGCAGTGGAAGAGTTGTTTTGTGTTTGCATGAGGGCTAGAGGAAACACAATACTGATGGCCAGGATACAAGATGCTTTCAAGAACAGGGATTTTAAGCTGCAAAACGCTCTTTACTCTAGCTTGTTTCCTGTGAGTTTATCCTTTAGAAAAAGCCAAATACCTGCAGTTATTTTATTCAGCCTCCATCTTCATTTAAGCCTCTCTTTGAATGGTCGCATTGTGTTTCTAGCAGCCTGTAACATCCCATTTCTTACCTGTTTACCCCTTTGAAGAGGAGCTGCAGTCGACTTCCAAGGCAGGGCTCTGCGTGTGCGTGTTAATTTGTGTATAAATGTGATCAGTAGGCATGACGTACTCCAATTCCTATGTTATGTTGAAGCCTTTTTCAACTAAAGTGTAAAATTGCAAATTAAGCTCTTAATTAGCTGAAACACTTGCAAAACGTTGCTTTGATTGTATTAATGGGGAAATTAAAAGTATAATTTTTAGGTGGTTTGTGACACATGGTAATTCAGAGTTAAGGCGAGTCCCTTCCCTTCGTGTGCTGTTGTGAGCAAGTGTAGCGCATAGGCTGTGTAATATAACGCACTCATCTGAGCCTTCCTGCCTCCCACCGGCTCCTGTAGCAGGATTTTTAGAGCCGAGATATAAACCTGTAAATATGTTTTATACCGGCGATTCCTGATGCTACCTTAACTAGATTGGTGCCAACATAGGCCAGTATAATTGAACAAGGCATTTGAGATATTAATGGTCTGCACTACAGTCAAGCCAGCTGGAAAAGAGAGTATTAAAAAGCAGGAGCATGGTGAAAACAGGATTCTTCCATTAGAACTGCCTAAATAAAACTGGGATTTTTGCAAAATGAGGACTTGAATGTGATGAAGCAACTGTGTTTTCTTATGAAATGCTCTTGGTCTTATTTACAAAAATCCAGTTTTAAGCCTTTAAATACTCTCATGCTTTAGACCTTGGTGAGGTTACTCTTAGCAAGTTTGAATAGGGCTGTCTTTTATTACTGCCATTTTTGGTGTTGCTTAAAGCAGCACCAACACAGGTTGCTACTTGTCACGTTCCTGAAGAAGGGCATGGCACCTGGATCTGACAGCTCTGCAGGTGCACTGGTGTTTGGGTTTGTCAGCTTCATGGATTAAAGAGCTACAGTTATGAAAACAGGAGTATTGTCTGGTTCAGATGCAATCTGCACAAGCTCCCTCAAGCACTTGGCAACTAAGGGTCTCCTGCGTGTTATAGGTGGGAAGCTGGCCCTTGTCTGGGGCAGGTAACTGTTGTTGATCTGGAAGCCCAGAGGTTGAACAGCTCCTATAACCACTTTTTGGGGAAAACATTTCTTCACAAAGGTGTATRTAAAAGCTGTGATGTGATCCTCCTGAATCCTGCTCAGGTAAGAAATGCTTTGGATSATCTGAATATACATAAACAGACTCTTTTGGATATCTGATATGTAAGAGTAGTTAGGGAGCTAGAGTCTCATGTTAAAAGTTACTGTAAGGTAGGGAGTTGCCAGAGGATTAAAGGAATGTCTGCATAATGGGCATGTTCAGGAAAATTGCCTGGGCAATTACAGGGGAGGTGGGAGGCTGCAGGAATCCTTCACAGAGCTCTGAGCCGCTCGTGCCCAGCGGCGCTTGCTGGACCTGTTAACCCCCCAGCCACAGGGTGCAGAGGGAAACCCCTGCTCTGAATGCCCTGAGCTCCACCAGGGTTAAGATGTTATTGGCACTTCAGATGCCCAGAATATTCGTGTTAYACTGGAGTGTAACGTTCCTGCAATGGCCTCTGATTTGCGACACCAGTCCGGTTTGCAGACAGTTCCTACAATGTCCAAGAAAGGCGTTCTCCGCTTCTTGTAAGTGAGATTCTGGGTTGGTTTGTGGGCAGTTTCTGACAACACTTAAAGGTCTTTTAACAGTCCCGTGCAATGGCTTCTATTATAGCAAACTGGGAACAGCAGCCACTTTTAGTCGTCCCCGTACACATTTGCAGAAATGGGGCCACAAGGTCTGAACATAATAGCRACTAAACACGGTGCAAAGGGGTTTTCTGATGGCCACAGCCTGTTGCTTGTCGTGATTCTGGCGCAGGATGTGGCYGTTAGAGCTGAAAGTTTGTGGGCTAGGGGAGCCCTGAGAGACCCTTCTCACTCACACTCAGAGCAATAACTTCAGTTTCTTACCGGGAAAAACTGCCAAGAAGTCAGTGGCAAAGCAAATCACAATTATCCTGTTTTTTTAAAACACTGAATAACGGGAAACAGTGGTGTGGGATGGAAGGAGGTATAAGCTTGAACTGAAGGTTTTCTGGCTCTTTTTGGCTTAATTAAGACTTATAGCTCTTTAACATTTTCCTTATTTTAAAAGGAAAACACACAAAAAACTTTTGGAGAAAGTTAGGAAAGTATTAATTTGCTCTGAGCCCTGCTGGTCTCTTTGGTGAGTTCATAATTAGGCAGGATTTTTTTTTAAATGGGTATTCTTGTCTCTCAGGTATATAACTGTTCCATAAGTGGTGAATC